ATAATAGAATATATATAGTTAGAAAAATTACCTTGAGAGCTAATATAACGCATTACTTCATCCCGTTTATAACGCGCATATAAAGACAATAGAAAATTATGGATTGCCTGTTCTTGACAGCTTTGTTTATAAACGCAGAATTCTAAATACCTGATTACTTCTTTTGCCTATAATGATAAATGTTAGTTAATTGTTATAAAATTTAAACTCTACATGTAATAAGAAAATAAATATCTTACATGTTTTTCGTCAGTATTACAAGATACTAAAGCTGGAAGGAGCTTAGATGGCTTTAATAAAGAACCTTGTGATATTAAAGCAGTCATTGTAGGGCGCGGTAGTTCTTGTAGAAGAATACCAGCAAAGTGATAAAACAACTCTTTATTATTTTGGCTTTTTAGAACTTCAAGAGCTTCTAAATAATTATTTTTATATAAATGCTGACGTATTACTTCTTCATAATTACAATGCATAATAGTTAAACGAATAAGATTGTCTTTATCACCATGAGTTGCCATTAAATCATATATAGTGCTGCGATTTCTTTTTATGCATTCCTGAAATTAAAATAATTTTTCCTATGCCAACAAATTTATTTTTTAATGTCATATTTATTTATTTAGTATTATTAATACCTCAACTTTTGGTATTGCAAGGAAACTATCAAATTGTTTTTGTAATTCTAGATATTGTGAATCGTGTAAATATGATGTATTATTACTTCGTAATACACCCATTTGATTCATAAATAATTCAATTACCCATACAACAATCATAGTTATTTGCGTTTTATCTTGTGTTTTTAATCCTTCAAGTTTCTAGGTACATAAAAGATTAAATTATTTCAAATATTTAAATTTAGAAAATTTGAAGTTGGAAATATATCACCTTTTTAAGAAATGTTTTTAATGCTTCTATTTGCCATTCCTGTAAAAATTTTAAAGAAATTTCTTCAAATGATGAATGAGTATCTGCATAGATGAGAGCACTTTCCTCATATTCCTTATTTTTGAAAAGCATTTCTGCTTGTCTTACAAGCACTTGGTCTATATGTGCTGGATTATCTTTACAATATTGTTTTGCAAGTTCAAATTCACCTTTATCAACATAGATCTGTTTAAAAATAATATATGTATTTGTTAATTCATACTATTAGTTTAAAATTAGATTAAATTAATTGCATTAGTTTCACCTGCCAAACATTTCTATCTTCCTTATTAACTTTATATTTAAATACTGCTTTTTCACTATAAGCCCATATGGAACGTGTTACATAATCCTTGGTAATATTAAGCAATTTTCCCACTGCCTAGGAATTATTAGATGTAATAATTATATAGATATTGTTATAATTTTAATTCATTATACATACATCATTATAAATGTCTTCAAATATCAAATCCTGATTCAAAAGCGACATGCCTTTTACACGATCTGTATAGAGTAATAAAGCATGAAATTCTGTTAAGACAAATGATAATGGTGCAGTACTTGTTTGTGAGATATTGATTCCCATTAAACTCGCCTCAGGGCAAGTTAACATCTGCTGATTTGTTAATACACTTTTTGGATCTATTTTTGGATCAATCTAGATAAATTCAAATTATGAGAGACATTCTACAGCACAATATACATTAAAAATAAATAATATAAAAATAATTATTACCTGAGCATATAATATACCAGTTTCAGTTAACCAACCAAATGATTTTGGTAAAATACCAAGTGACGGATAATAAAATTGAATTTTAGAATAAGGCAAATGATTTATCACTTCATTGAAGCTTTCTATCAAAATATTTACTTTGATTATAATCGCAACTATAATTTAATGAAGTTTGATAGAATAAGAAATATATACCTTGTACATTCAAATATTTATTAAAAATTTGCTGCAATAAAGGTTTTTCATCTGGATTTTGCACTGCTCCAATATATTGATAAATTCGCATAAGAGTAGTAACAATAATCACATATTTATCAGTACTTGGTATCTTATGAAACTCTAATCCAGTAATTGGTGGTTTACTATCTTTCCCTATATCAAATACCTAAAATAAACGATTAAATATTTATTATAGATGAATGTTATGGAATGTTATAATAAAATATGTCTATGATATGAAAATAGCAAAATTAATAAGCATGATTAAGGAATAAATGATTAAAGAATTATAATTTCATATAAATATACATAGTGCATTATATTATTATCTTTAAGTTTCTAGCATACAAATATGTTGCACATGCGAAAAGAATAATTTTTGACTCACCAATCCTTCTACCTCTTTAGCACCATAAAGAGGTAAATAGTTAGGAAGCTTTGGACACAATGAATAATGATATAAGGGTAGTACTTCTATTATTATGAAATGATAATGATTTACTGATAATGATATTGAAAATTAATTTGTATATTTTATTTATACCTGACGCCAATATTGTTCCAAGCTTGTATTAAATATTTTATCACCATCTAAACCAATTTCTGTTTCAAAAATAAGACCTTTTGATGTCCCTAAGAGAATTGGACCTGTAGTAGTTTCTGAAGAGTTTGAATAATTCCATCCAACAGCAGTAATTTCATGTCCTTTGAATTTACTTGCCTAAATGAACAAATCTTGAAAACTATATTTCTTTTAAAACATATATGTTGCATAAATTATTATAAACATCTATCATATTTCATAGATTATATTTATTATGTTATTTATCTTATTTACCTGTTTTAATTTTGTTGTTTTTCTGTGTAAATAATATAATTCAGGGGGAGAATTGGGAGGTTCTTGAGATTTTGAAATCAAAGCTATTAACAAATGATTACCTAGAGGATCAAGAAACATTCCTGACATTTTCATGTTCATTCCATATTTAGATATATCGATCTCTAGAAAAAGAGCATCTTGTATCAGCTTATATTCTATATTATAATTCATTCCATGTTATAATTCAAGTACCTATTATAATTCTATATTATAATTCATTTCATATTATAACTCAAATACCTTCAGGTGAATCTGGATGTTTCATATCGATACGTAAAAGAAGATTATTAGCCATGGCAATAACAATGATATTATTATTAACAACAAGATGTAAAATTTTGTCCGGTGGTAAAAAATTAACTTTCTGTTTAATAAAAATTGGCCCATCATCTTGAAATTTCATTTGAATAAATCCAGCAGTACTCTAGAAACATCAAAAAAAGAAACATGAAATGAAGATTTATAAAATCTTTGTTTTTCCTAACAAACAGTTAGGAAAAATTATTATTATTATAAACTTACAATATCTGGACGAATTGGTGGTGCATATAATTGTTTTGATCTTTGAGATGCTTGTTCATACTGATCAAACATTGATGTCATCGTTATTGCCTTATTTAAAAACTGTATTTAATTAAATATTTAATTCACTGTATTTAATTAAACATATATATTATTATTTTACTGTATTTCACCTTATTTCACTGTATTTAATTAAACATATATATTATAATTGTGCCTTACAATTTAGAAGTCAATACTTTATTGTACTACGTATACTTACATATTAAAATATAACTATTCTAAATGCAATAATAATTTCAATGGTAATTTAATTCAATTTTAAATTATGAATTAATATACTTTTTATGATTTATTATACATGTGATTATAAATCATTTTTCGATTAAATACATATATCATTGTAAACATCAAATTTACGATACTTCTTATTACAAACTAATACCTGACAGTAACTTATGAAATTTAACTGCAATAGTGTGGTAACAATGATAAAATTCTTAATACAAACTAATACCTGACAGTAACTTATGAAATTTAACTGCAATGGTGTGGTAACAATGATAAAATTCAAACTACTGTAACTTCTTTGTGTATCATCATCGATGTGCGTTTAAATATATACCTATAAAAATATATGTGTATATATAAAAGTTAAATGGAAGATTTTTGATATCATGCATTGTTTATTGTACAAATATTGTAATATTACTATAGAACAGTAAGTAATAAAAAGTTCATTACATTTCATTGTATTGTTCTCTACTACGTATCTAGTAAGTACGTACTGTTGGTAGGAAAGGCATAGGACGGATTTATAATAAATATATTTGCAAATACATATTGTGTATAGCGTGCAATTCAGAAAACGAATTCCAGAAATATTCTAGAATTATTTCACGCAATATATTATAAAGAATTAATTACGTATTATCAATTCACAAATAATTTTTGCATTGTGCATGATCATACTATCTCTTCTACGAAGTATTAGTACGAAGTATACACATTTCATCTATATATATATTTTATCTTAATTATCTACTTAGGAACGTGTTGTAAAAATCAAATATTAAAGCACATTTAAGTGATATTAAGAAATAAGTACGAAGTAATTATTATTATTTAAATGTCCAGTACTAGTAAAATGGAAAATGAGACTGATCCAGTGGTTAAAGAGGTTAGTAAGCAAATCTTTATTTTTTGATTATTCAGTTTTTAGGTTAAGTTTAGGTTATGTTTCTAAATTATATTGTTACGTTTTTTTTTTTTTTTTT